AAAGTAAAAGATGGCTAATACCTGTTAAAATGCTGCAGAAGCCAAGTATTTTTCTATTGTGTCTGTATCACATGATATCGATTCTCCTCTGCATGATTCTTGGAATAATATTACTCACAAGTTAAGATCTTACATTCAAGATTTTTAAGCTCTAGCTGAATAATGCTGGATAAGTTAGAAAGTCCTAATAGTGAACTTAAAAAGAAATGTTGACAGGGCTTGGATTCTCATCGTGCTGGTGGGTACCATGATTATAATGGTTTCCTTTAAAACTCTTCCATTTAATGTTCCAAACATTGGAATTTGTAATTTTTCCTTTGGTCCAGAGATCAAAAACATGAACAATTTTATATTTCTTAGGCTGGACGGCCTCTGTGTTTCCACAATTTCTGTGGGAAAGCAATCCACTCTTTCTCAATTTTATTAAAACCACCATCTTGGCTCCACTAGGTGCCATTATAAGCACTTTCATTATGTCTCATATCTCCTTTTAGGAAGTTGGACTCTGCTTATTGCTTTTCTTTTTTCTTATTGGTTTTTAAAAACTACATACTGTAAGTGAAAAATGGTTTAGAAATCAAAGATAGAGTAACACATGAGGTTGAAAAGGTATTGTGAGAGACAGATTATTTGAGGTAAAACCCTTCTGCCATTTAGTATCTTTGTGAGTTAGGCAAGCTGTATGACTCTAGGCCTTATTTCTCTCATCTGTAAATTGCATATATTAATAGTATCTGCCTTGTGAGGCTTTTGTAATAATTAAATAAGGTAACAAATGTGAAGTGACTGGATCACAGTAAATTCTCAACAGTTGGTGCCATTACCAGATTATTTAGTTATGTATTTAATTGATGGGTATATTCACGGGGTCGGACACGACTGAGCGACTGAACTGAACTGAACTGATATTGGACTGGGGAGCTATTCCCTTCTCCGGGGAATCTTCCTGAGCCAGTGTTCAAACCCAGGTCTGCAGTGCAGGAGACCCAGATTCAATCCCTGGGTCAGGAAGATCCGCTGGAGAAGAGAATGGCAACCCACTCCAGTATTCTTGCCTGGAGAATTTCATGGACAGAGAGGCCTGGCGGGTTACAGTCCACGGGGTCACAAAGAGTTGGACATGATTGAGTGACTAACACACACACACACAGTTGCTTTATGATATTGTGCTGGCTTCTGATGTACAATAAAGTGAATCAGCTCTGTGTAAACATATATCCCCTCGCTGTTAGGCCTCTCTCCCATCCCCCTCCATCCCACTCATTTAGGTCACCAGGAAGCAATGAGCAGAGCTTCCTGTGCTATTATAGCAGATTCCCACTAGCTATCCATCTTACACTTGATAGCGTATCTATGTTGTTCTATTTATTTGGAAATATTACCTAGTAGCAGTTACTGTCTTACTCAGAAAGCTTTATTTTATAACAGGTATATTTTAGTGTTTTTGTTTTCAAATAAGATAAATTAAACTTTATTCATTCAGCAGCTCTTTATTGGGTACCTACTATGTGCCAGTTGACTAAACACACCTTCTTCTGTTATAAATTATGATGTTTGCCTTTGGCTTTTTCTGTTTTGTTGTTTTTGTGGTTATCAGATTATGGAAGTTCGTCCGTATTCCTAATTTGCTAAAAAGTTTTTCTACCGTGAATGAACATGAGTTTTATCAAATGATTATTTTTTCCTAGCTCTTTTGAGATAACCATATGAGTTTTCAGGCTTCCATGGTTGCTCAGTTGGTAAAAGAATCAGTCTGCAATGCAGGAGACACAAGTTTGATCCCTGGGTTGGGAGGATCTCCTAGAGAAGGAAATGGCAACTCACAAGGGTATTATTGCCTGGGAAGTCCCATGGACACAGGAGTCTGGCAGGCTACTGTCCATGGGATGGCAAAGAGTTGGATATGACTTAGTGAGTAAATAACAACAACATATGAAAAAACATTTCTCTTTTTCTTTCAGTTTGTTGAATTTTATTAAAAGATTTTAAATATTAAATCACCTGGGCACATTTAGTGGAGACAAATCTTAGTTTTGGTATTTATCCTTTTGATTTGCAACTGAATTTAATTTTGTGCTTATATTTTGTGTCATGAATTTTATATATGTGTTCAGAGGAGAGATTTGCTTGTTATAGTTGTATTTCTTTCATACAAAATTCTTGTTCAGTATTGATATCATGTGTTGCCCTCACAAAATGAGATTGGAAATATTTCCTTATCTCTTTTTTTCTGGAAGCCTTTGTGTTAGATTGGTGTTATTTCTTCCTTGAAGGTTTCAAGGCATCACTGATGTAACCCAGGTCTAAAGTTTTCTTCCTGAGAGAGAAATTAGAGATTTAATTTCTTTCGCAGGTACAGTGTTATTGAGATTTTTCATTTTGTGTGTGTGTCAATTTTTCTTCCTTTTTTCCCTTCCTTCCTTCCTCCTTTCTTTGAAGACTAGTAGTTGCTGGTTTTGGTTCAGCATCTCAAGGGTATCAGATCCAAGTTCTCTGTGATTCTCTTCATATTTTCCTTGTGGTTGAGTGGTGGCTGATGTGGCTGAAGCCACCATATTCAAGTTTCAGGTTGGAAATTAGTGGAAGCAACTCATAGCAACTAGTGGAGTCTTTATGAAGAATGCAAAACTTTCTTTAAAGATTTAGCTTTCTGTCTCTCTGGCCAGAACTGTGTTTCATGGCCCTCAACTTACTGCAAGGAAAGCTGAGAAATGCTATCTGGACACATTTCTGTTCCCACAATGCAGGTTCTGTTAGGAAGGGAGAAAGGAAAACAGATTGTGTAGACAACTATCTGTGAAGTGTGACATTAGATGTGATTCTTAGGAAGATATCTGTGGGCACTATCAAAGGTGATTTGGAGCTAGATGACTTGGTTAACATATTCTCCTAAATTTAGTGGTCATGATATCTAGAGATTATTATATTGCTGAAAGATATGAAAGTGATATTAATGATGACTTATAGTACAGTGATACCTCTGGGATGTTTTAAGTTTTTTTCTATTTGAAAGAAGTTACTAAGAAATAATTAACAATAATAATAACCATCTAAGAAACATGTCTCACCCCACTCCAGTACTCTTGCCTGGAAAATCCCATGGATGGAAGAGCCTGGTAGGCTGCAGGCCATGGGGTCGCAAAGAGTCGGACATGACTGAGCGACTTCACTTTCACTTTTCACTTTTATGCATTGGAGAAGGAAATGGCAACCCACTCCAGTGTTCTTGCCTGGAGAATCCCAGGGATGGGGTCACACAGAGTCAGACACGACTGAAGTGACTTAGCAGCAGTAGCAAGAAGCATGTCTTGGTAATGTTAATTCATTTCATTTCATTCACTGCTTCATCATCACATGGTTATTGGGCACCTCTGTGTGCTAGGGGCAGAGCAGTGAAAAAGATAGGCCAGTCCTATTTTCACAGACCACAGAGTCCAGCTGGGGAGACAGGCAGTTAGCAGGGGACCCAATCAGAAATATTATTAGGTTTTATACTATGGAAGTTCCCTGGTGGCTCAGTTGGTAAAGAATCTGCCTGCAATGCAAGAGATCCAGGTTCAATTCCTGGGTTGGAAAGATCCCCTGGAGAAGGAAATGGCTACCCATACCACTATTCTCGCCTAGAGAATTCCATGGACAGAGGAGCCTGGTGGGCTATAGTCGTTGGGGTCGCAAAGAGTTGGACATGACTGAGCGACTAACACTTTCACACATGGGATACTAGGAAAGACAGAGTGATGAGATAAAGTCACTGGGGTGTGAGGGGTCAGGTGCTATTTCAAATAATGTCGCCAGGCCGGAAAAGCCTGTCTGCAAAGGTCTTTGAGTTGAACGGTGAGAGTGAGCTGAGTGTGAAAAAAGCCAGAGTGTATGTGTTAGGGTGAAGTGAGAAGAACAGATGCAAAGACCCAGAGGCAGAAAAGAGCCAGAAATAAGGACCTGAGGCTGGTGTGGGTGCGCCTGGGAAGAGTAGCGGGGTAACTGGTGGTGAAGGGGGCAGGGGTCTTTCCCAGAGGGCCCATTGGGCCGTTGTGTAGGAGCCAGTGGAAGACTTTAAGTCATAAAGTCGGCAATCTGGTTTATGTTTACAAAGGTCCTTCTGATTGTCGTCTGAGAAGGACTGGAGAGAGGCAAGGAGGAACGGAGACCAGTTAGGAGGACCAGTTAGGGGGTTAATGCTCTGGCCGAGGAGAGAGCTGGTGCTCTGGATGAGAAGGATTTCAGAGGAAATGGAGAACACTTGGAAGTGTATGGCGGGGCAGAAACGGATGGTGCTTGCCTATGGATTACACAGGGGAATTAGGAAAGGCCTTGTTTCTAAGTATTTTTAGAACTTTTTAGTTTTTGTGTTATCTGTAAACTCCAATGTCAGCATCCTAACTGGGTTCTTCCAGTTCTTCTTAACTCAAACTTCATACATTAAAATGTTAATATCTACTGGGATAACTGTTTTCTTTTATCCTTTAATTAAAAACAGCAACAACAGCAGAAAAGGATTTTTAACAGAACAATGATTCCAGCTTGGTATTTGCCCTTGAAGATCTTGCCTGTGTCCTTTATCCTAAGGGACATTCCTCCTTTCCTGTTTTTTTCTAGTTTACAGAAACAAATATCCAGAAAAAGATATATCTTATAGTTTTTTTTTTTTTTAGTAGAAAAGAGATTAAAAGAAAAGAGCAACAGCAACATCTTTCTCATATTATTTGTATATATTACTGTAGAATTTAATGACCTGAAGAAAAGCAAATGGTTTTTTTACGTAACTTTATTTGAAATAAACTTAATCTATACTAGTGAGTCCCTCAATTTAATGTGCACATAAATCACATGGGGGTCTTGTGGAGATGAAGATTCTGACTCAGTAAGTCTGGGTGGGCTAACGTTTGCATTTCTACCAAACTCTCATCTGGCCCACAGACCACACTTGAATAGGAAAGATGTTAACTTTTCTCCAAATGGGCATTGTCCCTGCTCTTAATCACCTATATTTTATTCTTCAGGGTTCCAAGATCATCAGATTGGAGAAACTGACCCATTGGAACTTAAAACATACTTGGTAAGTAGGAGAAACAAATAAGGAATTTTTTTCCTTTCTGGAATTTATTTCTAGGTTTATAATTCACATTCTGTTTGGCCTAAGAAAGCCTGGCATATTGATTGTTGTCTGGTATGTTCTTTACCCTAATGACTAAGAATTTAATTACATTCCAAATTGTGACTATTTCCCTAAATATTCCCAGCTGCTTTCAAGATGAACTCTATAACATTACTAGAAATAGGCTCTGTGGCCTTTTTGGGAAGTCTGCAATATGATCATATGATCCCAAATAGCTTTATTCAACATGTGATGTTAAGAAGACCACAGAATTTTAGAGTATCTTTTCAAGTTAGCATTAATCATATGCGGTTTTCTTCTGAAAGCATTTCTTTCAAAATGACCCACATTTTGAAAAGAAAAAAACTCATATCAGTTTAGATGAGATATTGATGGAGAGGATTTGACTCAGTAACTTTATCTAGAAATAATAGATTAAATTTTTTCATTATTTTTATTATTATAAAAAAGCACAAACTACTGAAACATTAAACTTTTTATAGAACTATATTGCTTAAAAAATTAAGTTAGGTCTAATCCCAGTCCTAGAGATGTGTGTACGTGTGTTAAGTCACTTCTGTCGTGTATGACTATTTGCAATACTTTGGACTGTAGCCTACCAGGCTCCTCTGGCCATGGGATTTTCCAGGCAAGGATACTGGAATGGGTTGCCATTTCCTCTCCCAGGAACCCTAGAGGTAATAAATGTTAATACTCTAGTGTCTATTCTTTTTCTACATTTCTTCTATGCATTACTAATATTAAATGAGTATATATACATATAAATGCACCTATATTTTATACAGGAATTAGACTAGGTCATAATATTGTTCCATAATTTCCAGACAGCAGTACTGAATGCTTAAAACCACAATAGATGAAATCTTTGGTATGTTTTCTTTTCACATGGAAATAATAGATTTTAATATCTTCTATGTCAATAGTTTTTAGGTATATACTATCAAACTACTTGTAAACCAAAGGGGAGGGCTTATTTAAGTAATAAGCTTTATTACTAAGTTACAAGTGCCACTATGATGTACAAGAGTACATAAAATTGAAGTCAAAATTATTTTATCAAAATATGTTTTTTACAAATTGCTAGTTTCTAAATACCCAGAATATCATTTTTAACAGAAATATGACCTTTGAAAACCTTGTAACTCCAAAAAGTAGGCTAATTTTAAAGGCATTTGATGACCTAATTATTTAAATGCCATTCAAATTGGGATTTACAAAAATATATATTTAGCCAAGAAGTATTTACATAGCTGAAAACAGGAGCAAGAGATTCTCCCTGCTATTATAATATTCAATTTTTTCTAAGCCCTCTCCATTTTCTGCTTCTACATTTTATTTTATACATACAAAATTTTCTGTAAATGTAAATACTTACATAGTACATTTAAAAAAGTATGCCTATGAACCCATCATCTCTATAAGAATTAGAAAAATGCCAAAAATCTTTTTATTCTTTCCTTATCCATCTCCTGTTTCTTTCTAAGAGGTAACCTCTATGCTGAATTTTTCATTAATCATTCTCTTAAAAATTACCACATATCCACATGAATTGAAATAAGATATAACATACCTATATTTTTTAAGCTTTATAAAAATGGTTTCATACTTATCTTTCTAGTATTTTTCTACTTGATATTATTTCTATGATAATACACATTAGTGTCTGTAGTGGTAGGTCATTTCTTTTCATTGCTGTGTGATATTAACTTTGTGATTGTATCAAAATTTGTCTTTTTAGAAACGGAGATGATTTTCCAGTTTTTACTGTTATTATGAAACATACTTCTCTAAACATTCTAATACACTTCTGATGCACAAATAAGGAGATTTTTTTAGGTTGTTTATATTTTGGAATGGAATTGCTGAATCATAGCAAGTGATCAGCTTCTCAAGATAACATGAAGTTCTTTTCCAAAGTACAATTTTTTGTTTCCACAAGCAGATCAATTCCCATCGATCCATCTCTTGGTTTTGTTATTTGTCTCAACTTTTTAAAAATAGGTATAATTTTATTATCTTAATTTGAAGTTACTCAACTATTGCTAGAGTTGATAATTTTTTATACATTTATTGACAATTTGTGTTTTCCCCTCTATTAAATGGTGGTTTATTCATTCTTTTGCTCATTTTTGTATTGAGTTATTTTTTTTCTTATGTTTCATTTTTCATTTAAGGACTTTATTATTTACTTTTTTTCCTAATTTTTTAAAAGGGAATGCATCTAATGCTGTGTTAGGTATGGATTCTCCTTCTAGTAATGGCAGAGTAACTCAGATCAGATCAATCATTCCAATGAGAACGTTATACACATAAACAATATATACATAAATCTGCAATATATGCATAATTTTATATCCATATATGTAGTTGCATACACACATATTGTGTGTGTGTGATTCTGTGTATGTGTGTATGTGTGTGTGTGTGCGTGTATATATATCACAACTATCTGAAGCTATTTGCACAACTATCTGAAGCTATTTGAAGGCAAAAAAAGGTGGATAGAAATGAAGATTTATTGATACTTCAAAGAAGAGAATAGCATTAGGTGAGTTTCCCATATTCCCACTCAACATTATTTTCAGGGTTACCATAGTGACTGGGCTTCCTTTGGCGCTAGTGGTAAGGAAGCCGCCTGCCAGTACAGGAGACAATAGATGCTGGTTAGATCTCTGGGTTGGGAGGATCCCCTGGAGTAGGATATGACAATCCACTCCAGTATTCTTGCCTGGAAAATCCCATGGACAGGGGAGCCTGGCAGTCTACAGAGCATAGGGTTGCAAAGAGTCGAACATGACTGAAGTGACTTTGTACTTAGCACAGAGATTGGACAGTGAGGGTGAAAATCTTAGAAAGGAGAGAAACACATTGGGAGAGCTCAAAATTCTTTGTGTTAACTCTATCCGAATATCTGGTTGGCCTCTGAAGTATGCGTGTGTGGTAGAGGGCAATCCTAATGCTGAAAGGATTGAATAGATTTTAGCAGTTGGCCACCACAAGGCAAACAGAATTTGGACTTTGAGTTTTCCTAGGTATTTTCCTGCTAAAACAAACAAACAAATCATTTCTACTCTTCAGAGAAATGTAACATATTCTCTACAAGAATCAGGATGCAAAACAAAATGACTAAATATATGAAGAGAACAGAGAAGTGACACCCATACTCAAGAGAAAAAGTAATCAGTAGAGCCTTACTCCAAGAAATTGTAATCTGCAGACAAGATTTTAAAGCAACTGTTGTAACCATATGCAAATGTAAAGAAAAATATGATCACAATAAGTCAGTAGAGGAAGTTTCAACAGATAAGTACCAACCCGATTTGTACAAACAAAAAAGAACCAAATGGAAATTAGAGAACTGAAAAAACACAATCTGAAAGGGAAAATAAGTTGCCAGATGGGCTTAAGAGAAAATTGAAGATGACAGAAGAAAAAGCCAATAAACCTGAAGACAGCTAATACTAATAATTCAATTTGAATCTAAATAAAGAGAAAAAAAGATTTGAAGTAAAAATGAACTAAGACTCTGTCACTTGTAGGATAGAATCAGAAGGTCTAATGTGAATAAAAGTGGGGTCTGAAAAGGACATGGGAAACAGTGCAGGAAAAAGTTCCTGCAATGAACTAAAAAGTTCCCATATTTGATGGAAGATATATTTGGTTTTGCTACCAAATCCTGCCAGTTTTTTTGTTAGAAATCTCTATGAACCCAGCCTCTCTTTACCATTCTCCTACCTTAGTTAGCATATTCGGTCTCTAGATCAAAGAGAATGATGGGAGACAGAGCAGTTTCTCTTTGGTGATCAACAAGCCAACTGCTGGGGTTGAATTGTGTTCCCCCCAAAAGGTATGTTGGAGTCCCAATTCTTGGAACCTGTGAATATGGCTTTATTTGGAAATCAGTCTTTACAGATGTAATCGAGTTAAGATGAGTTCACACTGTCAGTGTGGGCACTAATCTAATGACTGGCATCCTGGTAAAAAGAGGGAAATTTGGACCCAGACACAAACAGGGAAGAAGGCTGTGTGAAGACAGAGGGAGAGGTTAGAGTCATGCATCTGCAGACAAGCCAAGGAATACCGAGAATTGCCAACAATCTCCAGAAACTAGGAGAGACTAGAAAGGACTCCTCCCTTAGAGTCTTCAAAGAGAGCACGGCCTTGAGAACACCTTGATGGACTTCCAGCCTCCAGAACTTGAAGGGAATACATTTCTGCTGTTTTAACCCACTCAGTTTGTTATTCCAGTCCTAGGAAACTAACACTTCAAGCAGTAGAAAAAGAATCATCCAAGCTTTAAGATGCAGACAAGCAACCTTTCTGCTCCCAGATCTTTCCAGATCTAAACAGGAGCTGTCTCTCTCCCAGCCTCTAGGACAGGTAGCATTTCAGGCTTCTAGTACAGTCCTTCCTGTGCAAGCGCTACAGAACAAATAAGGCATCTGTCATGAGACACCGGCTGGCAGCTTCCAGCCTTCCCCGAGGGTGTCCACAGGTCTCCTGGGGCAAAGTCTGCTCAGGCCCTGCAGAGTCCAGGTTGTCACCCAGCCTCCCCACCTGAGGCCTGCGTGCCTGCCTGCCAAGACGAGGACACAGTGCCTGACCTCATGTGCACCCAGCTCTTTGAGCCTGCCCTCTGCAGCTCGCTCATCGTGTCCCCAGAATGGAAAAGTGAATTATTGACTAGGAAGGAAGAAAGTACTTTGGAATAGGATAGGACTGTACTTTGAAATATATGTGTACACAGACATATATGCTTGCATATATGTGAACATGAATTTGTATATTTTACTTCCTTCTTCAAATGCTTTTACAAGCTTCCTATTTTTTTGGTGAATAAAATCTAAGATAAACTCTAAGCTTGGCATTCGAGATCAGCTGCTCTGTTACCTGGCAACTCCTTTTATGTATTTTGTAATCTAGCTGAACTCTTTGATTAAGT